CTCCCAGAAGGCTCAGTCTCATAGTATGGCCAATGGTCAAGGTTCCTGGGAGTTGTAGTTCAACAGCATCCAGGGGCTGAAAATTGGAAACCACTTTGCTATAGCACACCCACCGCCCAAGTATATTAAGTGCAGTGAAAGCACCTAGGCCAGAATAGTTACAAAATGGACTGGCTATACAACAAAATAAAATAAAATTCTGATTTTATCCTACACTGGATGTCTGTACTGCAGATATAGATATAAGCCTACTGGCATGTTAAAGATGTCCACATGGTGGCTCCTCAAAATACTGGGTTCCTCCTCAAAAAATATGGCAAAGTCCACAATTTGATGGTGACACATTATGATATTGCTTCAGATGGCCTCATTTTATATGCAGTAAAAAGCAAACTTGTAGCACACAGATACGCAGTGTGTGTCCCTGGACACCATGGAGCAATGATTCACATCTCTGTTGGCAGACCCTGTTGGCATTCAGTTTGCATGGCACTTGTTTTGCTTGCCATTTTCCTTTATGCCTATTTTATTCAGATTCAATATAACTAACACCATCCATATCTTCACCTCTCTACTTGTTCAGCCAATCAGATAGTAAGAGCTGGAGAAAGGGAGACCTTGGAGTGCGTGGGAGAACCAGGGGATTTTAATCAGTCCTGTTTATGGCAGTTGGCCAATTGGTTGATGGGATTATCTGTCCCTAGCATGAAATGATAATCTTCAGAGGAACAGACTAAGAGGAGGTGGCAGTGCAGTTAATCTCTCTTAAGCAAGGACAGCACCATGGTGGGAGATGGGGGGTGCACGAATATAAGAAACAGAATAGTATTTAAGAAGAGACAACATGAAACAGAAACTAAAGCACAGAACCATGTAGAAAACCTAAGGACACTCTGTGTGAACAAAGTCCTTTACAATCTCTAATTTGCATCACTCTGCTCTCAGCCATCTCCACTAAAATAACTGTCAAGGATCCTCTTTGTCATCAGATCAAATGCTCATAATTATGGATGTGGAAGTATTCAGCCCAGAAATGGCCCTAGCATTGGATAGAGTGAAGTGGCAGGAAGCAGTGATCACTGTTCACAAGCAGTGGCAAGATTTGGAAGATAATGTCAGTCTTATACTGTACTTGCTAAGTGAGATGCTGTCCACAGGTGTTCTCACAACATGCTGTTCCATCCTCAGTGTTGAAATAGGATTTAACTGCTAGTCAGCTTCTGTATTTCAAACTGGTGAGGACTGGCACCATCTTGGCCTTCATACCAGGCAGTAAAATGTGCAAGGTCAGCCTTGATTCAGCATATTATGTAGAGCAGGGGTGGGAATCATGTGACCTTCCAAATATCATTTGACTGCAAGTACCAGTGGCCCTAATCAGCACAGCCAGTGGTGAAGCATATTAGGAGTTGCGGTCCAAGAATATCTGAAACATCTGACCCCTAGCATAGTGTCAGGAGTGTCACTGGGGTGATGCAAGAAGTGCAGATTGCACCAGGTGACACCTTAATGGGGGTGACACCACTGCTCCCCAAATATCTGCCTTTTGGCAGAAATGGACTATGGTGTTCACCTTTAAAATGTTAGAGCTCAGTGGAAGAGATGGCATGAGTGAGGCGAGGCTCAGTGGGAGGGTAAAGGAGATGTCTGAAGTGAAGTTGTAGGCTTTCATGGCCGGCATCCATAGTTTTTTTTGTGGGTTTTTCAGGCTGTGTGGCCATGCTCTAGAAGAGTTTCTTTCTGACATTTCACCAGCATCTGTGGCTGGCATCTTCAGAGAAAAAGATGCCAGCCACAGATGCTAGCGAAACGTGAGAAAGAAACTCTTCTAGAACATGGCCACACAGCCCGAAAAACCCACAAAAAACTAGAGATGTCTGAAGGTTTTTTTAATATATATTTTTTTAAAAAATAACTTTTTTTTACATTTTCTTTAAAAACATCATGCCTTACCGAATTTTCACTTTAACCACATGTAACCACATGTAAATACATTTAGACTACTATATGATATTGTAATTTAAAGTTATAATTTTAATGTTGCTAATTGTGATTACAATTTATGAATAACATTAGTACAAAAAATATTACCAAGGATTTTGTATGGTGTGGTGTGGGAGGTGGTCAATAGGGGCGAGGGTGAATTACCACACTGGATGATGTCAAGCCTAGTAATGCCACTGCATATTGTGTCTACTATTTCTGTCCTCTGCTGGAAATGAGTCTAACAGGACTAAATTGGCTAAAGATTCCTCTATTACCAGCAGCAAGATCTACACCAATCCATTTATTAGAAGCCCCTATATCAAATATGATATTTTGTATAGAGATGGAAAATAAAAACTTCTGAATTTACTTCTTCCTCCACTGATTAATTTCAAATTTCAGTTTCTTTCCACATGAAATATGAAGACATTTGTGCAGTTTGGACAAATCTTCCAAAGTGAACTGCATTTGCACCTGTCAAATCCATAGATTCCTAGCATGGAGCGGATGAAGTCATATCTGTCTGTCATTCAGGTGTTGAAGAAGATCGTCTGGGTGGGAAAACACACACACACTGGCTACCTCACTAATATGGTTGAATATCCAAGAAATCATACCCAACCTTTTAAGCACTCAGTTTTACAGCCTGGATGAAAGATCTATCATTTTTGTTCAAATTCAGATTTAAAAATCCATTTCCCCCAATCTAAAATATGGAGAAATGTAAGTATTTTAGTACTTTCTTATAAAAAAGTAAAACTGGTCTGGCATCCTGTTCAGCAATTACAATATTATCAGGGTGACTTACAACATTGAAATTCACTTTAATGGCCATTGTACCATTGTAATACCCAAAGGTCCCTCCCAAGCCCATCTTTTAATCCAGAGGTAGGCAACCTTTCCCCTTTAAGGGCCGAGGGACTTCAGCTCCCAGAATCCCAGGAGTTATTGGCCAACATGGCTGAGGCTTCTGGGAGCTAAAGTCCCTCGGCCCTTAAAGGGGAAAGATTGCCTACCCCTGGCTTAAAAGGTAGTGGTGTTCTGACTTACACTTATTTAAAAAGATTCACCAGATTCACCATTCCAGAGTGAGTCAGGACAACTGTTTACGCAGTGTCCCGCTGTGCTGCCCACCATCACCACTGGCATGGATGACTCTCTCTCAGATCATAACAAGGCACCCAGCCATGTGATTGATGCTGAGCATCTCTTTTTCAACTTCAGAGAGAGTAACCTGCATCAGGTTCTGTTGTGCCAGGCATGCAGTAGGATAAATGTGTAGAGAGTAGCTCAGTGTTGCTCTGGAAGGCAGAGGTAATGAGGGCAATTCAGGGTAGTTATGGGCCAGAATATTCCAGGAGCAGCTGGTGTAGATCCACCCTAATTTGGTACCATAGATAGACCTTGAAGTACAAAGGGACTGGAACATCATTAGGTTGCCTGTACACCTAGTGAGGGTGATAAGACTTTTTGTGTGAACTCAGAAGTTACACAAAGAAAAAAAGAAGAAAATGTCTCTGATTTAATACAAGGCCCTGCTTCCTGCCTCATTTCAAGCCACATGGTCCCCTCTTTCAAAATGTACTTTGAAATCTGTGGGTCTTTTTTTTCCTTCTTGTTCCCTTATCTGATACTGCCAGCAAAAAGGATAATTTCTCCCAGCTGCAATGGTGCTATTTATGATATGGAAGTCTGCCCACTAGACTAAAAACCCATTAGCTCATTTTACAAGCCAATTCTGATGATAGGATTTACTTTTTAAACATTTGATATTGTAATTTCCACTTGACTGTGATGTGTGCTTCTTTTACTATCACCTACATTTTCACCAGTTTCAAAAAGTGATTTTTTGCATTTTTTTTAAAAAAAGCGAAAACCCTTATTGATGTTTACAGACATGCAAAGTAAATGAATGGGAATCTTGCTTTTTCTTGAGACATGCCTGGTATGGAATTCCAGAAAGGACAGCTCCCAATTTCTAAACAGCTACTTTGCAGTGTGAAATGTGAAACAGGGGTCGGCAACCTATGGCCCACGGGCCGCCCTGGCCCGCTGCCCCCTGCCGCCCGGCTGCCCCCGCCCCCCGCCACAAACAAAATGGCAGCCGCAACACATGCATTGGCAGCGTGGCGGTGGCAGGGGTTGGCGGGGGCCGCGCATGTGCATATGAGAGCGCGTGCCGCCATTCCCCCCCCAGCCTGGCGGAAGACCTGGGGATCAGCGACCGGCCCCAGGTAAGTAAACCTTGCCGACCCCTGGGTTACAAGATCCCTCATGGATATCAAAATCCATGGATGATCAAGTCCCATTAAATACATAGTAAAATGGTGACCCTTATATAAGATGACAAAATCAAGGGTTCCTCTTTGGAATTTATGTATTTTTTGAATAGTTTCAAACTGTGGATGCTTGAATCTGTAGATAAAAAAATCCATGGATATGGAAGGCCAACTGTATATCACATTTCCTTTAGTGAGAGCCACTTTTCATCTATTTTAGCATCCATAGGCCTAAGCAGACGGCTTAATAGACCGTCTTCGGCGCAGGGAAGGGGAGGGGCAGCCGCACGCTTGGCGCCCATCCCCATCCTGAGGTCGTCCTCAGAGCAGCCGGCCCTCCGCATGGCCGGCACTCCGAGGAGGACCTCCTGCCGCAGCGTCCAGACACGCTGCAGTGGAAAAGCCGCCGAAAGTGCGCCACAACCTTTTGCGGTGCACTTTCGGCAACATATGAAAGGAGCTCTATTTTAGCACTCCTTTCCAGGGGCGACGATGGTGTGCCGCTGGATCGAGGCATGGGGATGCCTCTGTCCCGCAGTACACCTTCCCAGGGCGGCCCACGGCCGGCCGTCTGCTTAGACTCCATGTTGTTGTTGAGTGTCTTTAAGTCATTTCCAACTTATGGTGACCCTAAGGCAAACCTATCATTGGGTTTTCTTGGCAAGATTTGTTCAGAGGAGGCTTGCCATTGCCTTCCTCTGAAGCTGAGAGCCCAAGGTCACCCAGTGGGTTTCATGACTGAGCTGGGAATTGAACTCTGGTCTCCAGAGTCATAGTCCAAAATCCAAACCACTACACCATGCTGGCTCTCTATGAATGCTCTCATTCCCATTTTATTCTCACAACAACCCTGTGAGGCAAGTTGCCCTGAAAGTGAGAGAGTGAGTGAGTGAGGGTAGGTCTACACTGGCCAGAATACTTCAGGCTTTGAAGTATTTGGAGAATACTTTGGAATATTCTGGCCCTGGAGCTGCCCCTCATTACCTCCATATTCTGGAGTGAAACCAAGTGGCTGTCTACACATGTCTGACTGTGCTGCCTGGCGCTGATGGTGATGATGTGAGTTACTCCCTCTGATGCTGAAAATGAGGTGCCCAATGTCAATTACGTGGTTGGGTGCCCCATTGTGACCCCAGAAGGAGCAACTGACGCAGTGGCATCAGAGCCAGGTAAATTATTTTAAGCCAGTTTAAGGCAGAAATGGTTCAGATTTGGTGCAGAACTGGCCTCAAGTCATGAAGACTGTCAGCAATCGAACTGGGCCTTTGATCTATGCCATGAAGCCAGGTCGCAATGAGGGTGGTGGAAAACAGGGAAACATGCCCAGAGAGAGGCTGATCCAAAGCTATACCATAAGTTTGAGGACTCATTTGGGGCCAAAACTTAGATCCCTAGGATCCCAATCCCAGTTCAACATTTGTAGGTCTCACACAAAAGCCTGAGCTTGTGTAATCAAAAAGGTGGTAGGCAGTCAAGGGATGGACAAGGAAGACATTTTTTACTGGGAAATCTTTGGCAGCATTCAAAATTGATACTGAAATAATGGGAATATGACTGGGACATGACACATATAAAGGCAAATGCCTACTTAATTATCCTAGGAGTGTGAGGTGCATGCAGATAATGGCGACAAAAAGCCCTTACCTCTAGCATTGTAAAGAACTCTGAATGGGTGGCTAGAAACAATCCTGCTATCTCTACAGATGGGACAAAATGGGAGACTGGCCAACTTGCTCTTAGAATAATCAGGAGCTCATTAAGAATTCTAATCAGGCAGAAATATTTTCCCATCAGCTCATTACAAACTATAACAAGGTCACAGCTCTGGGTTGTGGATGGCTTTTTCTCTTGCTAGAGATAACAAGGGTGTCTGTGGGAACTTTGACATAGGGCCTAAGCAGACTGCCAGAAATAGTGCACATTAAATTGAGGCACTGCCCTGGCTCAGTGCTAGGGAATCATGGGAACTGTAATTTATTGTGGCACCAGAGCTCTCTGACGGAGAAGGCTCTATGTCTCAGAAAAAAATACAATTCCCATGACTCCCTAGCACTGAGCCAGGGCAGTGCCTCAATTTAATGTGCACTATTTCTGGCAGTCTGCTTAGGCGTTAAGTTATTTGTTATATTTGTTATAATCTGCAACAAAGGCTGTGTCCAAGCATCAGCTTCCTGTGTGGTTTGATTAGGTTGGTTGTGTTAAACTAAGAGTTGAGGCAGTACCAACTCTAGTAAGAGGTACCAAGTAGTGGTAATAGTGTATCAGCTAGTGTATTGGTTTGTCATTATCAGCTGCTCTTGGGGAATGTGGCACCTGCACCGGTCTTAACTAGGCTCCAGTTTGCCATTTGGGCTAGTAGTAAGTAGTCAACAAATTGACAAAATCTCTCATTGATACTAGATCTGCTTGCTTGTCACCTGAAACCCCTCTGCTTAGAGATGCATTAATATGCAAAAGAAAGAGAGAAAAAGGGAAGGATGGAGGAATGGATGAATTAGAAAATAAAGGAAATGCTGCGATTTTTATTTTATAGTGGTGGTTAATGGAGTTTGACATTCATACTAGGAAGACAAGGCTGGGTTTCTGGAACTCTGTTTGTGTGTGCAAGTGTGGACCTTCAGACAGGTCCATCTTGAATAAACAATTGTATTGCTAAACAAATATGACTAAGGCATAGCCTCGAATTGTCCTGATTTGGTAGTTACTATATAGATTAATCTGCTGTGGTCCCACTTTTTCTGCTGTTTTTAAAACATCCCAGTTTCTGTCTTTTCTCAATTTCCCCCTTTGTCCTCAGCTTACTTCAAATGCTGCAAACTGAATTCAAAGTGGAAAAGTACAGTTACTTTAGCTAGGGGATAGGAGAAAAGGGGATAGGATATTGATCTTCCTTGTAGATTCAGGCAAAAGCAAAATGATGCAGCCTGTCATAGCTTGAGTGTTCTTCCTCATAACAACTTTTGCCATCTTGATCATACTCTGAGATTGCTTGGCCACATGTGTCCTTGTTTTCATCTGTGCAACATTGGAGGCCATGATAAGAACACAGAACTTGGGGCTTGGAAGAGTTAACTTTTGTACAATACCTCCTATGATCTCCAGCCATCACGGTTGCTGGGTCTGCTGAAACCAGTACAATGGGACCTTGGTATCTATGGAGGATCTGTTCCAGACCCCACTGTGGATACCAAAATTCACAGTACCTCATGTCCCACTGTTCCCAATGGCGACACATGCATGAGGATGGTAAAATCCACGAATGGGAAGTCTGAGGATAAGGAGGCCCCACTGTACATGAATTAAGCTTCTCCACTCACATTCTGATGCTCACTAGTTTTTGTTGTGAGGATTATACTAGAATCTTTATCTGTTTGTTGCTACAAGGGAGGGAGAATGCAGTCCACTATTCTGGTTTCTCTTTCTGTAGTATGTAGTCTCTCTTTGAAAGTCCATGCTTTATCCAAATATAGCCAGATCTTTACTTGCACATACATAGATATAAACCAAAATTGGGAAATCTGCTTCCCTCCATTTGTTGAAAATCTACAGTCCCTTCATACCTTACCATTGGCTAGAACAGGCTAGGCCTGATATGGACGGGAGTTCAGCAATGCCTAGAAAGCCACTGGTTCCCCAAACTTTGTATCTTTAATGATACAGTATAAAGCCAATGATACAAAGGATATAAAGCTTAAAGGATATACACATTGACAGAAAATGAGATAAAAAAAATTGACAAGATGCTACCAGTGACTTGACATGGGCAAGCCTCCAATGACACCAGCAGAGCTAGGTTTTAAAATGTTGGAGAAGGCAGTACCTCCTTGTGCAAGGCATTTCCTCCAGGCTGTGCAAAGTTATTCAAATGGCTCCTAAACACAACTCTCTCCCTGCCACTGACTGATTGCGGGAGTATGCCCAGGCACTGTTTCATGCGAGTGAAGAAGGAAAAACCTTGGGCTGGAGGGTGACAGCCATGCTTCCTTCCTCACATGCACAACTGCATGAGGACAGTGCTTGGGTTTAACTTATGACCACAGAATCATAGAGCTGGAAGAGACCATGATGGCCATGTAGTCCAACCCCCCTGCCATGCAGGAAGACACAATCAAGGCACTTCAGGCAGATGGGCATCCAGCCTCTGTTTAAAAACCTTGAAAGTAGGAGATTCCACCACTCTCCAAGGCAGCAGATTTCATTGTCAAACACGTCTTAGGAAGTTCTTCCTAATGTGGAGACAGAATCTCTTTTCTAGTAGTTTGAATCCATTGCTCCAAGTCTTAGCAGAGGTACCCCTGGCAGAGATTTGGATACCTTTGCACATGTTGGGAAGGAAGTGGACTGTTACCTTCTGCACTAGCAGTGTAAATATGATAGCAATGTTTTAATGCTCCACCAACACTGAAACAGAAACTTGGACAAAACACTTTTAGATTGTAAACCTGAGGGCACAGACTCGGCACTTATTTGGCTGAAAAACTTGAAATTGTGAATAAATAAATTAAACAAATGCATATCCCCTCAATTGGCAAGTTAAAACACAATAGACCCCTCTTTCTTGATCCTAGAGCAGCCATCCACAGTAATCTGTGTATAGTTTTAAAAGAGGAATTGTTCACTCTAAACCTACCATAGTTCAAAGGGATGCTGGCAGTGACCGCATTACTAGCCACAGCAGTCCCTGCAACATCTTCTTTCTCTTTTGCTCTTTAAAACCTTTAGCAGTGTGAGTTTGGTGCTGGGAAGAAAAGCAGAGCTTTATGTTCACATATTTTGCTTGTTGTAAGCAAGCACAGACAACTATACTAGGAATGGCTGAGAAATATCCGTGCTTTATTGCACTGTTTATTTCAGACATTTTGCTACAACTTTGCAACTGAAAGTTTGTTTTCTCTAGTCTAATGGTAAACACACCTTTTACCCTTGGGACCCCCCCCCTTTACATCTACTTGTAGATGTTGCCCCCCCCCACTTGTAGTATATGAATAAAAATATTTTGTTTATTTAGTGTGTCTATTTTCATTTGCACATTCATGTAGATTCATATTTTAACATTTTATAAGGAAATAAAATTCAGTATTTAATTGAACACATGTCTAAATTTTACATATAAACAGTTTAGGAAGAGAAGGAGGAGGAGGAGGAGGAGGAGGGATCAAGGCCTCCAAGTCTCATGCCCTCCTTGACCAACTCTTGCACCTCCCCAGGAGTCCTGCCACACCACTTGAGAACTACTGATCTA